AGCCAAATGCCGAGTGGCATGAGAGGCATGTCCTCGACTGGCAGCAGCACCGGCTGGTCATCGAGAATCTGCCCAAACAGCGCCCGTATCTCATCAGAGTGGAGGCCCATAACAGTCTTGGAGGAGCCCCGGTTGAGGCCAAGGAGGTGATAGGGTTTTCCGATGAGGACCGACCCTCGGAGGCGCCCAAGTTATTGAGTATAGTCGAGAAAATCGATGGCAAAAGTGCGAGACTTAGTTGGGAGGCCGTCCCTCCCATGTCACTGAATGGACATTTCAAAGGTTAGTGTTTTGTGGCTATATTTTGTGTTATATTTGGTTTTTGGGCAAATTTTTCGATGAGTTACCAATTGTTTGAATATTTTGTTTGTTATTCATTAGACATTTGTGTGAATTTTATGTGTTTTATGTGTTAAGTCTGAGCGACCGTTGAATTAGTTTATCCCAAAACCATAGATAACTTAGACTTCATTTTGCAATCATTTGTTTGCCTTTCACTTAATATTGATAACAATTATTGAATGTTTCACACGAAAGTCGACTGTAATTTTGAGTAATACTTGAGTATTTGATAGAAAAATACTTGAAATTATAATTTAAATATAGTATTAATTTTACATTGAAAATATATAATTAGTGTTTTATGTTCAGGCAAAATTAGTTAATAATTTTAGTTTATTAATTAACCAGTAACCACTGAAGTGGTAGCTTTAGCAAATGATGCTAGTGCAAATATTTTTTAGGTAGAAAATTGTGTTATCAATTTAGGATATAGGCGGAATAAATAACATGTTTTGTGTTTATTTATCAAGGAATTTAATGAGTAATTTTATAATAACAATTTCCGCCCACAATTTAATCAAAAAATGAATTTCTTATCAATGTAAGTTTGATATTGAATTCAACGTAAAAATATTTATACCGACATATTACTCGCAATCCCTTTCATTGAGTGATAAAAATATACAAAACACTTGTATTTAGTTAATAGAAATCGGAAACTATTTCATTAGAAAATTCGCGATAACTATTAATTTACAAATTGATTGGCAAAGTATTATTATGTAATAAAATAAGGAAATCAATATTTAATATAGTGATGGCATCATAAAGAATTAAAATTAAATTAATATTTTTGTAGCCAATATAAAGCATACAGTACAGAAACTATACATTTATTTTCAGTTGTAATATAACTGTAATTTTAAGTACTTCTCATACATTACTCAAATAATTATAACTAAATGCTATCTATATTTATAAATACTCTAAAAATAATATCTAATGCATAATAAAAGTCGTGGAAAATATTTGCAGTTTTATATAATAGACAACCAACACATCCCCTAATCTCATGTTATATGACATACTAGGATACAAAGTGCAGGTGTGGACAGACAGCTACGAGAACCGTAGCGAACAGATAGTGTCGGCAAACGAGACGAAAACACGAATAGATATATTGACGCCCGCGAAGAGGAACTACATTCAAGTGCTCGCATTCAACGGCGCTTTCGACGGCCCGCCGTCCACCCAGATCTTCTTGGACACCCCTCAGGACATATACCCGGATCCTCCCGCCTTCATATGGGTGCGTCATACAAACGGCGCCAATAAGTACTTCCTTCGCATCACATACGAGCCAAACGTGACGAACAACAACCCGGGCGACAAGATATACGTCGAGTACCGGCGCAAAAGCATCGACAGCTTAGACGAGTGGGAAACAACGGTCAAAGAGGACATATCCGAGGTTAAAGGGTCCGTAGATTTGGTGGACCTCTTTGAGTTCAATACGTTTTACGAGATCCGAGTGGTGGCCGAGTCGGGAGAACTCAGGGCTTACAGTAATATAACGATTATAGATACCGGGCTTAATAAGTGGCCACAGCCTACCACCACTACCACTCAGGCACCACCAGTTCCCCAGACATTTGAGCCGTATATACCCCGTGGACACGACACGGAGTCGGCGCCCATACATCCCGGTCCTGATTTCAACCCGGATAATAGGGGCTCTTCTGAAGGAGGAGAAGGGGGAGACCTTCAGGGGCCGGATGCCGACGCCGAAGATAATGGATTCTCGAAGACCCACTGGTTTATAGCACTGGTATGTGTGTTGGCCTTCATATGTGCGTTCGTCGGTGTGTTTATATTCCTGAAGAGACGACGGACGGGTAGTTCAGACGTGAATCGAAAGCCCGCGCGAGGGGTGACGGGAGACAAGATTAGGTCGACTACTATGACGGCATCCAATACTAACGAGTCGAGTGAACCCCACGAGACCAACAGTTTTATAGTAATTGATACTAATGTGAGGAATGGTAGGGCTCGCGGTAGGGACGAGGTCGATGATACTACAGGCGATGATGACCAGCACCGGGATGTCTATAATGGCACCACGGAATCGGTCCATTAGGATTTATATATATATACTGAACTATTAATTGATTTTTTCTAATTGTGTGTAAAGTTTTTTTGGGTTTTTAATGATAGAGTTATTGATTATATAAACCTTTTTGTATTAGTATTACAGATATATTTTGAGATCATTTATCGCATATGACATCAAATCTCATCCATGTTTTTCTAAATATTCGTGTAATTGAATTACCTAGCTATTATTTTACATTAACTTTAGTATTAATTATTTATTTTTTACAACGTATATGTATATCATGATATTATAAACGCTTTTATGAATAGCGACGGCTTTCCCCTTTTCTGATCAAATTATGTATTTTAATGGCATTTCTTTGCGTAATAATTATGTATTGAATTTAATGTAATATTTTTATCGCATATATTGCGACCAATTTTATGATAATTGTAATTGCATTTTGTAATTATTATTGATTGGCAATCAATGATTGCAATAAAATGAGTTTCTTTTTTTGTAAAACATTATGACTAAATTATTAAATTACTTTATACCGGTATTATATTTAATATTATAAATACTGATAGGTTTATGAACAAATTGAAAAATAACAAATTTACTGTAATAAGAAATTTATTAATATTTTATAAATTACATCTACTAAATGAAATTTAAATGCCCTCGTAAATTAATTACACAATTAATCAAATAGATAACTGTATTCTCTAAAAATAAAAAATTATTATTTCATAACATGTACTGTACCCTAATAGCAAGTACTTAATACTCTGTATACCATAATACGGTACAGAATAACGGTGTTTATTAAAACTGATAACTGATTTATTTAATGATAAGTTATCATTGATTATCAGTTTGTGATTGCACAACATAGTGAATGTTTATATAGAAATCAAAGTCCCTTTTTTGTATGTATGGTTTGTGCGGATGAGAGCACAGGTATGAAAAATCCTGTACTTTACGGTATTTTGTAAACCGTAGTATACCAGACAGGTATGGCCACTGAATACACAGCGATGTTAAGCCTTTACTATGAAGGCTTTCCATCAGAAAAGTGTAGCGAACTCTCAATTACTTTTTAACTCAAAGTACATTCAACTTACTATTAAGTAGAGAGAAATAGTGGTGAAAAAACTTAATTGTACTCGCTTTCAATTGATTGCATACATGAATGCACTCAATGACCAATCAATACAGCGATTATATTAAGATTTTTTATCTCCAAAAATCTTATCAAAAGTTATTATCTATGGAAAAAAGTGGATATGATTTTTGAATCGCGATATTAATGGTACAAATGTATGGAAAAACTTATGGGAATAACATTGAAAAAAGTTTTTAATCGCAAATTGTCATATGTTTTGCATATATTTTTGAATAGTAGTTGACGTGAGAAATGTTGTCAAAGAGAAACCACATTTGATTTGTGATAGGATTTGGTTATATATTGGGATCAATCATGCGATCAAAAGTGTAGTATATCTATAGAAAACAAATTAGCGAAATATGTATTTAATGAAAAATTAATAACTGTTTCGCAAGTTTAGAGTTCATGCAAAAGCTATTTTTAAACACAGTATTTGTTTAATAAATTTTTATTTTTAAATTATTAGTATTTTTTATTAAAGTATTTATATTACATATATTCAAATGTAGTTTGTTTATAGATTTAAATTCGTATTTTATTACCGTATTGTGATTTATAAAAACTTACCGGTGTGAATTAATTAAATTACTGTGAATATATTAGAAATCTAAAATATTGTTTTAATTAGCATTTGTGAGAAAGTTTTTATTTGAATTTCAAATTTGGAAATCTAATTTTAATTGCTTAATTGTATTTGAATTACAATAAATTTAAATATTTCAAATCCCAGTGCAATTATAGCTAAAGGAAGTGTCAGCAATGTAATTAAAAAGTGTTATATTCATAGATTTTTATTTGATTATAAATTATCATAATATTTGTATAAGAGTGAATACAAATGAAATTATTTTATGTTATTTTTACAATGTATACTTCAATGTAGATTTAATTTAAATATTTTTTGATAAATAAAACTATGCTGTTAATTATTAATAGTATCAGTATATTTTATTTTTGTTAGTTTATTTTGTTTATTAATTAAATATATTTTTAGTAAAATGAATGTAAAAGGCTTTTGATAACATATAAATTTTTTATGTGATTTATGTGAGACGTTTCTATTAATTAATTTGAAAATAAAAATTATATGTTTTTAAACACAAAACGTTTGCCAAAATTCATTAATAGAAATAAATGTGATTTATTGGCAAATATTTTGGTATATATTGTATATATTTATAAATTTATAGGAAGAATAAGTGTATAAAAAGTGGTAAAAAGTTTTGATATAATGAATAACTAGTGAGTTGTGAACGACTTTATCCACAAAACCCTTTGATTTCAAAGTGATATATTTGAGGAAATTTATTGATTTGTATTTAACTACTATATTATTATTGGTAAAAATCAATTGAAAAACATTAAACAAGTATTGACAGGAATTTTTTTCATTTGATTAACAAAACACACTATCGGTTAGTATATTGTAATGTATATTGAATTGAATACAAGATATTTGAGAAAAAATCACTAAAAATATTGACAATAGAAATGTCTATATATTGAATGTATCGATGAAGTTATTGTTGTGTAAATCTATAATTAATTTTGCTAATACAACAAAAGCGGCTATTGCTGGTTAAACTTCAATCAATTTGAGCTCGATCAAACATATCACAAAAAACTGGCAATTCATTGGCCGTAAGTATATATATATTTAGGAAAACCAATGGATTGTTAGCAGAAAAGTCATAATCGCGTAACAAAGTCGTGCTTCAGACATGAAATCTGATGGAAAATATATAGAAATTTATTATATACGGTATATATTGTGCTACCGATGCGGTTCAGTCGCTAAACAATTGTGAAGTGCCAACCATTCCTCAATGGACAGACAGACAGACCGTTGATTATATGAAAGGCTTCATCGGCCGCACAGTTATCTCAACGCCGCTATTGAATTGTGTTTTGATGAGTTTAAAACCGCAAATAAGCTTTTCATACGTCAAATCAGTTCTCTGTGTGTATTTCCATGAGATCCCGTGTATTGTCAGATATCGACGGCTATTGTTGTGATATTTTATACGTTTTTGGGTTTTCTTTGAATTCCTGTTTCTCTCTCTGTGTTTAAAATTAAAGATAAAATATATTTTTCGTTAATATAATTACATATGAAAAAAGAGGCATTTTTGTGGGAAAAAGCGCTTATATTTAATAGCCTTTGAGACTATGATTGGAGTGAATATTATATTCAACGGCATTTACTATACAGTACTATGAATACCGCTGACTGACTACTACTCGGTGTATTGTTTGTAAAAATTATTGTGAACACACTTTTTCCACTTATTTTTACACACAATTTGCGAGAGAAGTTACCATTTTTTATAAGCGCCACAAAAAGGTTACTTAAAAAGTAGTATATATAAATTTATATACTCTATATAAGTATTATTACTTTTCTCGGAGATCGACTTCTGTTTGGATATTTATTTTTAAGGCAAATAACGAGTAGAGAGAGAGAGAGAGAGAGAGAGAGAGAGAGCTACCAAACAAAAAAAGTTTGACTTCTGAAGAAAAAGTTATATACTTTCGTAAGTGTTATGTCTTAAGAAGATGTGATGTTTATATATAATGGACTCAAAAAACAAGTCTTTCTCTGCAAACCCCGAGTATAGGCTGTCTTTGTACGTATGGTGTAGTCGGATGAGCATCGAAGCGGAATACCTGTTGCTCTTCGATATATCAGTGGAAAGCCTTTTTCGCTTCTTAAGGGCTGATCCATCAGCCAATTGTTCATCCGTTTGACCGGCGCTCTAATGACTACTCCAGAGGTGCAGTGGTTTACGAGTCGAGACATCTTTACTACGAGTGTTCAGTGCAGATGAAGGCATAACATGTGAGACAACACCTCCTTTTCTCTCACATACGGTATATACCTTATTGTCAACGACTATTAAGTTTTCTCATAGAGTACTGTATAGTATGTATCCATAAGTACAAGTGTGTATACATTGACTGGATGAGCAAATATTATATACTCTCAATTGTGTATGAATTTAGTTTTCTGTGCTTGCTTATGTGTGGAAAAGTTGTGTGATTTTTGTTTGAATGACAACCAGTGAACATACAATGGCAACACTTTGAAAATCACCTTTTGTTATGCTAAATATGATGTGAAATCTGAATACACATATTATACCAATCAATCGGTTTTTAAGTTTTGTGAATATATGTGAATTAATGATATAATAAGTTTGTTTGGATTGTCAATCAAATACTGAGTATTTTATATGTGTTTCAATGGGAATATCACTGATTAAATGTAAGTATAGCTGAATTTTTTCCAAAATAATTGATAAATAGTTTTTACGTTTAATTATAACTTAGTATAAAATAAAAGTTTATGTAATTATATTTTTTTCATAATTAATTGATAATCAATTAATTTCTAAGTGATTGATAACTTCCTTATTTTCTGATAAACACTTAATAAAACTCAAAATCAATGATTTGATATTTTCAGACACTTTTTCCAATAATTAAATGCTTGGTTCACAATGTGTTTGGCCTTATTTGGTGACCAAATACTGACTAATACTTATTATATTCACTATATTATCAATATTAGATAAATTGGTTAACATTTGATAAAGTCTTAAGTAATCATTAATGTAAGGTATTATAAAAAGTTAAAATATAGTATCAAATAATTTCTAATCTAATTTTTCTAATATTGTGTATACAATAAATTATATAAGATTGAGTCCATGTCCTACCAGTTTATGTTAGTAGTCAGTTATTTAACCCATGTTATATAGTGATTTGAATACAATATTTTTGTTGATTAAATTAATGCACGATTGCGTATCAAATCAGTGAATATTTAGTTTAATTTAAATTTTTGATTTATTTCGAGATTATATTTATTGGAAAAACATTAATTTTCTGCACAAAAATATAATGAATATAATGAATAGATTTTTGTATAGAAATCTGGTTTTTGTGTTATAAAAATTGAGTGAGAAAACTAGTATTTAAATAATGAAAACATTTTCGATAATTGAAATGATTTTTAATTTTGTGAAATGTACTCATTTTGAATGTGCATAGCTAATAGTAAGTGAATATT